GAAGGAGAAGGAGAAGGAGAAGGAGAAGGAGAAGAAGGAGAAGGAGAAGGAGAAGGAGAAGGAGATTTTTTTTTTTAAGTAAGCAACCTTTGATTTTGTTTAATGGAATAATAATCAGAAGTATATTTGGTCTGGAGAGATATTGGCATTTTAATCCACTTTCTTTATTTCTATCTAAGATGATATGTGTACAGATGGAGATAAAAGGAAAACTATTAAGCTATTAAAGATGTGGCTTCTTTAATGAACCCACTTATTCATTAAAACTGCAGCTTTTTCCAGGTTTGTGCAGAAGACTGAAAAAAGATGAGGCTGCTTTAAAGAGAAGCTATGCTTCTATGCATTCCAAAACCATTTCCATAACCCCAATTAATACAGCTAATATAAGGTGATTAAATTTGCTGAATTTACCCTTCACTGTACTGTAGAGTTCTTCAAAGCTCTTTATTAATATTTCAGACAAAGCACTTGCCCATTTTTTTCAATCAAATTTTACTGAAGAAATTTATTTTTGTGGTCATTGTGGGTAGTGGAATGAAATTATTTATACCTTATGCAGCAGCTGTAAAGAAGGGAAATTCCATGCTAGGGCTCATTAAAAATAGGATAGGCAATAAATCCACTGATATTATCATATCCCTCTCCAAATTTATGGTGCAGCCACATCTAGAATACTGTGGGCAGTTCTGGACACCACTTCTCAAGAGGAATAAGCTGGAGAAGGTATGGGAAACGGCAGCTAAGAGGATCAAGACCTTCCACTTGAAGACAGGCACTCACAAGAGATATGGCTGAGATTGATAAAATGATGGATGGTAAAGTAAAGCTGAACAGGGAAAGGTTTTCCTCCACCTCTCCTAATATAGAACTAGAGGCCACCCAATATACTTGACTAATAGAAGATTTAAAACTGACAAGAGGATGCCTTTCCTCAAGCAGCAGAAGATGTAGTGTAGGCCACCACTTCAAAAGGAACTAGACAAAATCCTAGAGGATAAGTCTATCAGTGGTTACTAACAAGGCTGTTCTCCTTTTCCTATTCTCACATTCTTGCATTGTACTCTGTTCTAGGCAGGAGAGAACAAATGCATGCGGGATTTTGTGAAATAGATTAAAAAACAATTTCCCTACTGCAGGCAAGAAGCAAAGCAGATGGAAGGACTCACAGAAAGTATGAGGAGACAATAAATGCTACTTTGCCCCTGCTTCATTTGGGAACTAAAGTACACAAATGTTCTCCTGATTAAACTCTGATACCCCAGAGTTTATTGTTCCAAGCTAGTTCAAACTCCAACTATAGCCAGATAGTTGTGGAGAAACTGTTTTAAGAAAATTATTAGCATATTTATTTTCCTAAGCCTTAAGAGGCCATGTTGGCTAAAATATCTTCTGTTCCATTATGATTTAGGAGCTGGTCTCTCAGGGGTGATACTAGTTGGAGGCTTTGCATCTTCAGCTAACAAACATCTTGGGTATGGCTCCCAATAGATATTAAAAGGGCTATATTAAAAACATATGCATGATAGGGCCTAATTTGATTTTCTCAAGTCACTGACTATACTCCTCTGGTCATTCAGTCTCAAATTTCAGGTGAATGAGGTTTAAACAGACCTTCCATACTTTGCCTTCTTGCAACCTCTGGCGATCAGTTTATGGAGAGGACAGCACCCCCCAATAATCTCAGGTAACTGTAAGAACCAGTAGAAACTGGTCATTTCTCACTGACTAACATTATAGATATGATGTACAGACTATTCAGAAAGCTGTTTCTGTTCTTATTTTAGAAATAAAGAACCACACCTAAACCAACTTTCGGCATGTAGAAGGCCAGGATTCAATGCATATTATAGTTACCAGTTTAAACAGATGAATGTCGTATGTGCATTTTTTATTGTTTAGAGCTGGTTTTAGTGGATGGAAATTGGGAAAGTTGCTTTCAGCCTGATTTTTGAGAGCAGAGAGAGGTTTAATGGCTAAATGGGCCTTGAAGATCTACTTCCTTCCCCAGCTGCTGGGTTAGTGTAGAGTCCGGAGGTGGCCTTGAAAAAGAAACTCAGTGACTGTCATGTATGCATCAGGGTAGCCCAGAGAGATGAAGAGGGGTGAGGAAGAAAATCAAGATTGCTCTGCCTTGATTGTCTTCAGTATAAGAGGGGAGAGAGAGAATCTCTGTCAGGCTTTCAAGATTCTGTTATTGTATTTTATAATAATAAAATACAGCTGCAGTAGTTCTCAGGTGTCTGTTTCCTGACCTGGCGTACCTCAAAGGGCTGAGAGGAAATACGTGCCTTGGTGGGAATTCTATTTAATGCACTAGGTGTATCAATCCCTGAGTTATTGTCTCTTTTTGTTTTGATGATAGTGGGTGTGTTTTTAACTCATATGCCGCCCAGAGTCCTTATGAGTTGGGCAAATTGTGTATTTGATTTTTTAAAAAATAAATAGGAAAGCAGGACTTGTGAAATAATATTTCAGCGCTCAGCCCCACTCCTAGCTTTTTTATTTTCTCCTTCCTTCATGAGGCTCAGCACCACATACATGCTCTTCCTGCCAGACTATTTTCTGCTGATTTTCTAAAATAGATCATCATTTCTACAGGATTCCTTGTGGTGAGTTAGGCTGAGAGATGAGTATATTCACAGCCTCTCACTGAGTCTCATGGCTTAGTGGGGTTTTAATTATTTGGCTTCTTGACCCAGAGCTATGGGATTTATCAGCTTATTTATTTATTTTATCTATCTATATTTATTTATATTTCAAATTTGTCACCGCCCATCTCACTGTGGAGTGACGTATGCCTATTATGTCTACAAAGATGGGGGATAGGGCAAGATCTGTATACCCGATAGCTTATATGCAAGTTTATCTTAGTCTGTAAGGTTCCACAAGGCTCTTCAAAGACTAACAAGGCTATTCCTCTGGATATTGGGTCATCTGTGTGGCAGATGTCACAGGCAGGAAGTTGAAGTGTTCCAGGGGAAGTCATCTTTTTTTTTTCCTGAACTCTTCCAGCTCACTGAGCTCAGAAAAAAAATTCTGACTATCCAGATATAAAGATTTAAAGAGAAGGTCCTCATGTTGGATGGGAGGACTAAAGGTTAATTAGCATGACCTCTTGTTGATCTCTAACACCTCCTTAGGCTACTACCTGTTTTAGCCTAAAGGGTTCTCAAATGAAGTGCAGCTCTCAGGTGCCAAATGTGGCTATGCCTATAGTAAATGGTTTACTATTTCACTAAATTAGCATTACAAGTTTGGCATCTTGTTTATGGCAGAATCAGCCTGAGATGGAAGGATTTTCTGGTTAGAACTTTTGTTCCTTCCTTCAAGATTCAGGAGATGTTAACGCCTCTTGATATTTTTTTAGTCACCTAATTCCACAGAAGGCATCGGGATCATGAAGCCTGTCCCTGGTGGAAGACATCTATCATTGTTAGTTTATGAATTTGGTGAATTTCTTTAAAGAAAGAAAACAATATTAATAATACTAATTGATTGATTGATTGATTGTGTGTGTGTGTGTGATCAAGTTGGTGTCAGTATATATACTGTATGTGTGTGTGTGTGTGATAGTGTACATTAGTGTGTGTATACACACCAATATTCCAGCTTCTTCACAATAAAGTATCTAAAAGCAGAACGTATTTTTGTTAATTATTGGGATTTAACTTTAACTACAAAATTTTCCAGTTTTTATTTTTTTAAAAAATATCAGTACATGTAAAACTGTAAAGGAATGTAGAGATGACCTTGGGGATGGAATGAATGAACAGTTGAGGGAGGAGAAATAGCAACACAGTCCTGAGAAAGTAGAAAGCATTAGAAAGAAATTCAGAACAACCCCCTCTTGATTCTGGTTGGTGTAAAATGGGGCAGAGAGAAAATCTGAGAGTCTTTCAAGATTCTGTTATTATACCCTATAACAATAAAGTAGCATTCCTGGAATCCTTGCAGTTGTTTCCTGACTTGGCTTATCTGAAAGGATGACATCAATCTTGAAAACTTAACTGAGTTTCTGACTGCCTTATATCAGACAGAATCAAGGTGGGATATACATCTAATAAATGTCCATTGGAGTTGGGCACTAATACATTCAAATAAATAAATAAATAAATAAATAAATAAATAAGAAATTAAAGGAATGGGATTATAAGGACTCATGGGAACAGACCATGCAGAAAGATTCACTAGAATATAATGGTTGGGTTCCTGTGTATGCAACCAGTACATTGATGCACTTTAGTTCTAGCAGCTACAAAGCATGGTACAAATCTTATCTTTATTACAAATACAGGAGGTGGCCTTAGGGAAGTTGCTATGGCATATTCATGGACTTGTGAGTATTGCATAATGGGCACATGGAGGCTGTCATTAGGAAGATGCACCAATTATAGTGTACATTAGTGTGTGTATACACACTAATATTCTAGCTTCTTCACAATAAAGTATCTAAAAGCAGAACGTATTTTTGTTAATTATTGGGATTTAACTTTGACTACAAAATTGCAGGAGGACCCAGCAATGGTAACCCCATGCATAGATTACTGTACATGGGGCTACTTGGATGCTGCAGCACCCCCTTGTGGCAAACCAGAAAGGGGGGGGCTTCTCCTCTATTCTCCACAATTTCTCAAATCAACCATTGTCAGATGACTTTATTCCCAATTTAAATTCCCATAATTCACAACTAGTCTCTCCAAAGGCTGGAATTCATAGGTAGTAGCATCCACAATAGAATTTCCAAAT